TATACGTCAGTTGTCTCGCACTGAGACCATAGCCGATACCATTCCACCCCCCATCTCAGATATTCATGAATTGTGTCTCTCATCTCATATCACTTTTCCTCTACATCACCACTCACCCAGAGAGCCAGAGAGTTATGGTAAAACCAACACCATTTCACATCCATTTCACATGTTCGACCTCTCTTCTTATATACTTTATCTTTCCAACCCATCACTCTGACAGTATCGAGATCACGCTAGACAATCTGCTGGGTAACATACCTACACTCGCCCAGAGACTGTACTCCATCTGCTCCGCACCGCGAGTATCGGCCAATCAGATTGAACTGTGCGTCGTGTTGGATCAGTTCCGTTCAGACGTGAACCCTGCGATGCAATTCCAGGGTGTGGCGTCCGGGTATGTGGTGATGTATATAGTAAACCAACGTGGACAGGGCCTTTTGTGATACTTGTAGTAAATAAGGTATAAACTGCATGAGGCGATATATGTAGTAAAATATCGTGTAAAAGTGCAAGTGCCAAAGGGTAAACCTCTAGATGTATATAGGATATACATGTTCAGTCATGAATGTGTGCTGTTGTCGAGGGTGTGTATGAAATTATATGTTTTAAGTCAAAGGGACATGTGTGTCAACCTGTAAATGTCGAGGATATATAGAAACATCTATTATAAGTTGGTGTCAAAGAAAAATTCTCTAGCTATGTAGGTATTTGTGCCTGCCAGATGCATGTGTGCACAGTTGGAGTTATACTCCCGCTGTATATTTATATATAAATGAGACAGTAACTCATAAAGGCCAGTGCTACGTCCAGAAACATCGGCCATGTGACCAAGGGTCACTTATCTTCTACACAATAATCTTCACCGTTACCTGACCACGTATAACCATTGCCATATATACCCGTTCATAATTTGCCGGATTACAACCAATGCAAGGATTAAACACAGGGATCGGCGCAGTTAGCTGCCAACGAATATACTACTTCTATATCGTTATATGTAGATACCTTGCCGGATTAAATCAATAACTCAATACTACTTCTTTATCGTTATGTGTAGATACCTTGCCGGATTAAAGACGGGAGATGTAGTCTGCGGTAACGTATGCGATGGTCTTCTCGACCTTCCAGCGGATAGTTCTAAGTCGCTGGTGGGTGTGGCACTGGGGTCGGGTGTGGCGGTATTCCGAGCCATTCTGCAAGAGCGTGAACTACAGTTTGACGAGGGCCAGGTGTGTACGTGTGCTGTGAAGCAATGCTTTGTATTGAGGTGCTTGACAGTCTACTTTAGGTGCCCCTAGTCTATATATAGGTACTGGTAGTCTATTTATAGAAGAAGGCCGTGGTCTATTTATAGATGCCCATAGTCTATTAATGGATGTGACACACTTCACTGGGGTCCGGGACAATGACTAGGACTCATGTCCATTTAAAAGTCAACTGCACGAGTCTGACATGTATAGGTGCTTGTGAAATGCTCTTCACACACGCACACATACATGCACACACACACTCATACATACACACACACACACACATCTGCTTGCACTTGCACTTACACGTACACGTACACCTGCTTCGTTCCATCGCAGGATGTATCACGCATGCGCCTGTACATGGGCATGCGCAGATGCAAGGAAGACTTTCTGTTCAAAGAAGAACTGGAGAAGTTCCAGAACAAAGGTCTGCTGGAGCTAATCCCAGCATTCTCGCATGACGAGGTGGGCCGCTTCGACACACCCGCGACTAAGATATCAGAGATCCCTGAGAAGGTATGTGTATGCTTGTACGTGCTGTGTGGGATACCAATGTGTGTGAATGTCTTGCACTTCGGGGTTTATGATATATGCATGTATGTGTGTATTATATGATATATTTATGTGTACAAGTATATACAAATTGCAGAGATATCTGAGAAGGTACGTGTATGCTTGGATGTGCTGTGTGGGATACCAACGTGTGTTTGGGATGTGCTATGTTACATGCCAGTGTGTGCGTACATGTTCGATATGATACATGGTTAGGATCTATAGGTATGTATATGTATATGCATATGTATATATACATATATAGTTTGCAGAGATTCTAATCGCTCTACCATCACTTAGGTTGCTGAGTACCTGAACAACGGGGGCACCTACGTGTACTGTGGTTTGGGCGGTTTGGTGCCTTTGTACCACGAGGAAGCAATCATCCACGCCTTAGCTGCGTGTGACGATGGATTAACGTCCGAGACCGCATACGGCGTAGTAGAGGATTTGAAGACACAGAACAGATGGCAGGTAGAAGCCTACTCGCGGGATATGGATGAGGATAACACTCTTAAGGTATGTGTGAATATATGCAGGTGTATTCGCACACGCACACACATATACGCACACACATACATAAATATCTATATAAAACATCAAGACAAACAGAAGGCAAGTAGAGGCATACTCGCGTGATTCAGGCAAGAATATCACGCTCATGGTATGACATGTTATCATTATATACGTTATCATTATATACGTTATCATTATATACGTTTTATTTGTTTTTCTTTTGCGCTTTAGAGATGGGAGGCACAAATTCATGTACATGTACTTATACATGCACATGTTTATATACATGTACATGTACATATGCATGCACATATACATATACATATATACACATGTATCACTGTATCTGACCATACCTCTCTCTCACCCCAGACTCTCATGGACAGGGCCCTTCAGGAGAAGCCTGTAGCTGATCGCATGGAGGGGTCTAAAATGTTCTGCTTCCAATGTGGTCAAACCAACCGAGGTGTTGGCTGTACTACCGTCGGTGTGTGCGGAAAGAGTCCCAATGTCGCAGCGCTACAGGATCTCCTGATTGACAACCTCAAGCGTCTGTCCTGGTATGTGGTGGCTTGTATATATATATATATTATAGCTATATATAGATGTATATACGCAATTGTATATGCATACATGTGTATCCCATTGTGTGCGTGCATAGAGTCATACGGATAACAAGCACTACTCACTATTGTGATTGTATGCATAGAGGTCGATAGTGTGGGCACGCCCATCTTCCGTACACTTATGTCGTGTGCTTATGTTTCTCTGAACTCTGAAGTGAAGTTCGGAACAATAACGAGTTATCCGTACATACATTCACACCTTCCCACTCTACGAACCGTACATACAAATGCATACCTACATCCCACTAATACACACACCTACCTACACTCTACCACCCACCCCACAACACTGACCAGGTACGCTCACCGTATCACTAAGGCTGGCGGTGATGTGGGCGTGGAGGTGAACCGATACACACTCGTAGCCACGTTCTCTACACTTACGAATGTTAACTTTGATGAGGCTCGTATGCTGGAGTTTATCGCTGAAGCTGGAGTGCACACAGACAAGCTCATGGCCATGTACGACGAACAGTGCAAGGCCAATGGCACTACACCAGACACACCGTCCAAGCGGGCCACTAAGGTCTTCAAGAAGAAGGTGTGTGGGACTTAGGGCTGGTGCGGTTGTAGTTTGTAGTTGGTTGTGGGTGTGGGTGTGGTTGTAGGTTTGAGACGTAGGATAGTAGGAGTGGGGGTGTATCCGATGTATTCAGATGCGGTTGTGAGCTGTATAGTCGGTAGTTATCTGGGGCACTCCAGAATCAGTACCATCACTACAGGTCTTTAACCTGTTGCAGATATTGTGTCCATTTAGAGTATGTTTCAAGTTGAACTACGCTATTGACATGCATATACACACACATACAAGTAATGGCACACACATACCTACCCATACCCGTACACCCATTCTTAGCCTCCCAACAACACCAAATCATCTGCTACACCCATACACAGCTTCCCAAGAACACCAAGCCCGAGGTAGCCGACATAGAAGACATGGTGGCCGAGGGCAAGAAGGTGGGAGTACTCACACGCTTCCGAGCCGCACGCAACGACGCTCTGGTTGGATTGCAGGAGATGTTAGTGTACGGACTCAAGGGCCTGTGCGCGTACACAGACCATTCGCTGCAGTATGGTAACGAGCGCCCTGAGCTGTACGCGTTTGTGCATGAAGCCTTTGCGTTTCTGCTGTCGAACGAGGCCAGTGATCTGGGAGCTGTACTGGGCATGCTGATGAAGTGTGGAGAGGTCAGTGTGTATGTAAGGCTATAGTTGTGGGTGTGGTGGTGTATGTGGTAGACATGTAGCAGCTGTAGTGGTGAGTGATGTAGTTACGCTTGTGTATGTGGGGTATATCTACGCGTACATGTGTGTTATGTGTTATGCACGAGGGCTTCTTGCGGGGAATAGAGACTTGTGTATGTATTGTATTGGCATGTTACTTCGCCACACCACATCTCCAAAACCGCGCTGTGTGCTTTCTATCACCCCTCTACAACCATGTTTACACAAGAACGTGTATATATACATATATATATATAACCTTGGTGTACACCCTCCCTCACATCTCCTTAACGTCCCCACAGATCAATCTGATCTCGCTGAAGCTGCTGCATGACAGCAACAACACACACGGCGAGCAGTCTCCCGGCGTAGCTAAGTGTCTCCCGCAGAAGGGCAAGGCTATCTTGGTATCTGGACACGATCTCAAGATACTTGGAGACCTCTTAAACGCATGTGCCGAGCACTTGAAGAAGACCGGCGTCCATGTTAATGTGTACACGCACGGAGAAATGCTTCCCGGTATGTGCGTGTAGAGTTTACGGTTGTGTGTTGGTGGTATATATATATATATATTTCTATATATAATATATGTATTATCGTCTAGAATGTTTGCCGCAGCCTCCATATACCTCCATATACCTAAACTGGCACTTGTACCTGTATTCTATATTTGTACCACCCTCGCATATTGAGGTATACCGGATTTCATACTCTCCTCCAGATATATCAGCAAGTCCACTCTCGTACTCAATCTAGTATACCCCATCCTTCTACAGCCCACGGCTACCCCAATCTGCGAGCATCGCCTCATCTCGCGGCACACTACGGCTGGGCTTGGCAGCGCCAGAGTGTCGAGTTTGGACACTTCCCCGGACCTATTCTCATGACCACCAACTGCCTCACCAAGCCACAAGACGAGTACAAGGACCGCATGTTCACAGGTTAGTGTGTGAACTGTACAGGTATTCATATTAATATACAAATATAGGTAGTTATAGATATCTATATAGTAGATTATACATACATATATATATCTATATATATATATACAAATATAGGTAGTTATAGAGAGATTATACACACACATATATATATATATATATCGAAATATGCTTGGAACATCTATTTATCTCAGGTTATTGATTCTCTTTGACTGTCTCTTTGACTGTAGCGGGGGCAGTTGGATGGCCCGGAATTGCGCACTTGGGTGCAGACGAGGGCTATAAGGTACTCATCGACATGGCGTGTGAGCTTAAAGGCTTCGGCGATGAGAAGAAATTCGGATATCCGGAGAATCCCTTCGCAAAGTCCACCGATAACTTCAACGTATGTGTGTTTGTGTGCATGTAGTTTTGACGTATTCAACGGGTACGGGTGTGTGGATGGATTTGTATGCAGGTGTGCGCATTTAGAATACAATATATGCGTGGATATACACAACCCAACAGATGTTGGTATATGCCGGTAGTGTCTACGAATATATTTCTCTCCATGTGTATGCCTATATTTGATACTCCACATGTGCTATATATATCAGTCGGATGTGTTGAACATGTTATTAAAGTGTATTATAAGTAAAAAGGGTGTAGCAATGGACAAGTCAGCTGCATACTACACATGCCATGTACTGGACATCCTCCCCTCAATACATCTCCAATACTATACATATACGTCACCCAAACAAACTACTATCTTATTTTCACATAAATATAGGTCGGTTGGGGCCAGGAGACCGTTATCGGAGCGGCCGGTACAGTCCTTGACCAAGTGGGCAAGGGCAACATCTCACGCTTCTACGTCATTGGCGGCTGTGATGGGTACGAAGGGGAGCGCTCCTACTACACAGACTTGGCCAAGGCTCTGCCCGATACTTCCGTGGTCCTGACCGGTAAGACCCCTAAAACCCCAAAAAAAACCTCCCTTGGTATAACACCCTGAAACCCTAAGAACCTGGGACTGAGATTGGCGTTTGTGGGCAATGTACTCTATATGTGTGTGTATATGTGTATGACTGTGTGCGCACGGAGGTCAGGCAAGTGCATATGTGTATATGAGGGAGAGTCATTGTGGAGGACTCAATTTGCAAGCCCCATAAGCGAAACCCTAAACCTTATCTAACCCCCAAAACCGCTGCCTATGTCAGCAGCCTTCTAAATCAGACAATCGACCCTCAACAATCCAAATCACGATACTACAATACCCACACATACTCACTTTAATTATTCACACGAATACATCGTTGAAATACTATTGCAGTGGGCTGTGGAAAGTTCCGTCTGAATCACCTCCAGTTCGGTACTATCGGCGACACCGGCATTCCCCGGCTGTTGGATCTGGGACAGTGCAATGACTCGTACTCGGCCGTGCAGATTGCACTTGCCCTGGCTGTAAGTGTGCGTGTTATTATATATATATATATATATAAATATGTGTGTGTGTATGTATGTATGTATGGATGGATACGTGTATACATTTATATATGCTATAGTTAGTCTGACACACGTGTTGTATAACTATGTAGGTTCATTGTTACAATGCGCTACATATCTCAATATATATATCTCTCGTCGCATTTTACTCACCGCTGCTATTAATAGCAGAAACCCTATTGGCTAAAACATCCCTCTCTTTACCTACCACCGACACACTCACAGGGAGCGCTTGACTGTGGAGTGAACGACCTTCCCCTGTCCATCGTACTCAGTTGGTTTGAGCAGAAGGCTGTGGTTGTACTACTATCACTCCTATCTTTGGGTATCCAGAACATTCGGGTAGGCCCCACGGTACCTGCCTTCCTCCGCCCGAGTATAATGGCCGTGTTGAAGGAGAAATTTAACCTCATGGCTATTGGTGCCGATGTTAACTCAGACATTGAGAAGATGGTCGCTGGAGACCAGTAGTGGACACAGATATCGAGTCTGGACGTGCGAAAAATTGTCAACTGATACTGGGAGAAGTGGGTGGTCGGCGAGCAAAAGCGGACATATATTTAGACAAACCGTGGACACACACGAGTGCTGATACAAACTACGAAGACAACATATAAGGGCGTCGAACGCAGATAGTCAATTCGCCACAAAAATAACGCAGTCCAATAATTACTGATAGAAAATATATCCGCCACACTCGTAGTTGGCGGCAATAAAAACAACCATCAAGAATTTGCCACACCTAAATTATAAACACTATATGTATTCTATGTTTACCTATATTACTATATATTTATTATATACATATATATATATATATATATATATATATGCATGTGCGTGACTTTTACGTTCGTGTTTTGTGTTTATTGATAATACATGCAAAATTAAAACGCAGGAATGTAATACATACAAATCATAAGAGTGACAAATATACAAGATATATCTATTTGCTTGTATGTTATTATATGTTTTTTCTAATATATATATGCAAGTCCATGTATACGTGTATATTTTCTATTCAACAATATCTATATGTATGCGAATATCTGTATGTTCACTATGTATAAATGTAAATGTGTATGTTTGTCCGAATAGATATAGATATATATATATATATCAATATATATATGTAAATATAATATATATATATATATATATATATATATATAATAATATAGTAATATATATA